ACTGGGGCAGTATATGGAATATACTGGGTGGATTTAGCAATCATCTTTATTACTAAAAACAAATAATTCAGAGCTAGTAATAGTGAGTTAATAATTATAATATAACATAATAATTAATAATAATGCCATCTTCATAGGGATAAGAGTAGGGACTAGACTCGTCATTTCATTGGTATAAGAAACTCCTGGGTTAGGAAAGTGCCTCTACTAATGCAGAGTCAGGATCTTCTCTTCAACTTATGGTCAAGTATTAGAACACTGAAAAGTTAAGTAACTTGCCTGGAGTCACACAGAAAATATGTATTAGAATAAGACTTGAACCTCGGTCTTCCAGGCTCAAAGATTAGCATTCTTGCCATTATATCACATTGTCTCTCTATCATCTATTTACAGGAAGAATATTATCTTATTTCCTCTATGCAAAGACTTGAGGGAATCATTATTATATTATTATTAATAATAGTTATTATATAGTTATATATTTGTATGTTGTTTATTACATATGTGTATTATATAATTATTAACAATATTATATTATTATATTGTATTCTTATTATAATTATATCTTAATGAGAATTGCATTAACCACCAACATGGGATAATGGGTTTAAATCTGGAAGGAATTGTAGAGACTATTAAATCTGCCTCTCTCCTATTTTACAGTGTAGAAAACTGAGGCACAGATGGGTTAAGTGACTTGCCAAGGATTATAACTAAACTAGTAAGTCTCTGAGGCAGGATTTGAACCCAACTTCCAGTTCCAATTTTAATGTCCTATCCACTACACAATGAATGTATTTGCCTCTAGCTTACATACAAGCGTAAATGTTGCTTTTTTTTTCCTTTTTCATATAGATAAAAAGGGAATAAATTTTAAAAGTTCAGTTCATTGTTGGAGACTAAAGTTGATGAAAGTGGATTTTGATTTTTTTATTTATTTTTTCACCAATAACATAGTTTTAAACCAATCAATTGGCTCAACTTGTAGCCATATGATCACGGCTCAAGAGCTAAAAAGAAGCTCAGTGGCCCCTGAGTGCCACCCCTTCACTTTACAGATGAGGAAACAGAGGCTCAGAGAGCTGAAGTCATTTCCTCCAAGTCAAATATATAGTGTCAGAGATAGGTTTTGAACCAGAGTCCAGAGAAGTATTCTTTCCATTGTACCATTTCTACAAGTCATTGTTTTTGGCTTTAAAAAGTGAGTTTAGGATCCAAAAAAGGAAAAAATATACATATATGGATATTTATGAATATATTTATGGATATATATGCATATATATAGATATATACATATGTGTATATAAGTATATGCATATATTTGTGTTTATATTATATTATATATGTGTATATTCAGATAGATAGATAGATAGATAGATAGATGATCTGTGTTTTCCATATAGTATATGTTAAATTTTCAAGTTTTCACACCTTTCTCTTCAAAAAGTGTTCTCTGTTGGAGAGAGGATAACTTTAAGGGATTCTTTAGGAATGTACAGATAAGGTACTACATCAATTGCTTTCCTTTTGGGAAATATATGAACATGCTAGCCAAAAGTCTTTATACCCAAAAGTGAGGGAACTGCTAGGAAGGCTCTTATCCTTTTAAAAATATGATTATGTTTATGATATTTGTAATTTTAGTATCTGTAATGGAGCACCCAGGTGATATGACTGATGTTTATAAGGTTAGTTATTTTAATATTCATCATTCTTTTGGATGGCCATCATAGAATAAATAAAGTCAACACGAGGTCTTGGATGAGATTGTCAATCAGACTTTAATTCTATGAATTCAATATGATTTCTTAAGAATACTTAGTCATCACTTGAGGCAATGGACCATGTTGTGATAGAGAGCTGACTTCAAAGTCAAGAAAAGTTGAAAATGAGTCCCATCTTAGATACAAAGTGATTATGAAGAAGTCTTAATCTTTCAGTGTCCCAGACAAGTCTCTAAAACATTAAGTTGAAGAGAAGTTGTCATTCTACAGTGGGAGAGGGAGTTTTCAGAGTTCCCTATTCTGATGAAATCATAGGCGTGGTTTAAAACAAAAAAGAAGCTATCTATAACTACAGCTATTGAGACGGAGAGAGAGAGAGACAGAAAGACAGAGACACAGAGACACAGAGACAGAGATAATAGAAAGAAAGAAACAGAGAGGGATAGATGGAGAGGGATACAGACCGACAGAAACAGACACAGAATGGCAGATTGAGACAGGGACAGAGACACAGAGAATCAATCATCTCAGCCTCTACTCTCTTCTTTCTACATAAAAGTCTACAAAGTACAAGTAAGAAACAGAATGGTAAAGCCAATGGAGGCACATAGACTTGGGTTCAAGCCCTACCTTTAACACATCAGTTAACAAGTATTTATTAAATTCCTCCTATGCCAAGCACTATGCTTGAGGCAAATATCTACAACCATACATTGCAGGTGATTGTACAGTCTTCACTACTGAGGAGAGTGTCCCCTCTACCAGTATGTTCCCCCAACATCACACTGTCCCCCTCCTTATCCCCAAAACAAAAGAAATTTGAGAATTTTTTCCCCTTTTAATCAGACTTCTAGGGAACAGATGAAATGTGGGAAAATAACTCATCTTTATAAACACTGCCATGGCTTTCCCAAATCCTTTAACTGTGTGCCATCCTACAACATTTTTATTATGTGTTCCTGTGAATGACTTGGTGTTTTTTAATGATGTGGAATTGGAAGGCCATCCCAGAATGCTTTTATCAGGCACTGAGCTTTGAAAATATTTGTCATGTAAACAGTCAGACTTAGTTCAGGGCAAGTTTTTTTTTTTTTTTTTTTTTTCTGAAGTTCACAAATGACTGGCCAGATCTCTCTTGGTTCCAGTATGTGGGGTCATGGAAGTAATTGATGTCTTTATAGGTTTAACTTGCTTAGGAGAAAATAGACCTTAGTTTGGAGGAAAATTTGAGAATACTGTTGGAATACTTAACATTTCTTACCAGATGTCATTCTAAAGTTATTAACACTCAAAACTGGCCAAGAAGATTCAAATGTAAGAAGCAGCTGTAGGCAGTGAGCTTGAGAGTGAGAGGACATTAGTTCAAATCCCAGTTTTGCCACTTATTCTCTCTGAGCCTCAGTTTCTTTATTTGTAAAATAAAAGGCTTGGACTAGCAGGTCTCTAAGATACATCCCAGCTTTAAACATATGATCCTATGAACTGGATTTGGGTCTTGGTTCTTCCACTAAATACCAATGTCACCTTGGGAAAGTCACTTAACATTTTTTCTCTTTTTTTTGTGTAGGACCAAATAACAACTTATGTATTAGTAATATTCATATTATGTATTAGTGATATCATTGTAGATTATAGGATAAAATCATATGACTGTCCATTATAGAGAATTATATTCCATTAACCCTGGAGCTGGTGATTACAGGATCAACACTCCTCACCCCTATGAATCACTGTCACTATTTCAGTGGGACCTTTCCTTTCATTCACCATTTCTTTATTTCCTAGGGCACTGCTGAACAAAACACCAGATATTTGATTTCCAATTGAAAGGTCCATTGAGGTGGCAGGTAGAAGGTCTTTATCGAAATATCCTGCAGTTAATAGCTTAAAAGCCTGCTGACAAAGTGGCTATGACTGATGGGCATACCCCTCCACCAACTAGAGAGTTTCCCCCACTTCTGGTGTTAACCAACGACGAAATCGTTCTGTCTCATTCTCTTTTTGGTGCTCTTATAAATATATAAAAATAGCTAGCATCCAAGGGGAGGGGTTCTTGATCAGGAGAATGATCTTGGACCCAATTAATTAGGAACTTCCAGACTCCCTAAGAAATTAACTAATCATGAAAAAAATGCCTATTGACTCGACTCAACTTCTCTCAGCCTTAGTTTTTTCATCTATAAAATGGGGATGAAAATAGCAATTACTTCATAGCATTATTGTGAAGATAAAATGAAATAATATTTGCAAAATGATTTGTAAACATTAATGCACTCTAGAAATGTTAGATATTATTAATATGCACCTCAAATATAAGCCCATATTTTGATATTTCAGCAGTTTTAATATAATTTTATAATGTATATTTAAATTATGTTTAATGACTTTTCTTCACTATTGACTTCCTGGGATAAGCAAGTCCTGAAATATTTGTTCCATTGAATCAAAAGCTTGAGACAAGGGAAACTGTTAGTAGTATTTTTTATTTTAATTTATAGCTACCGACTCAGATGTTCTCCATGCAAATAACAAATTATCAAACACCTTGTCCTTAAAGGTGAAATGGATCTTAGAGGGTCTTAATTTTACAAATAAGGAAATGAAGGCCAAGAAAAAAATGATTTGCTCCAGGGAACATAAGTATCAAACAACAAAGCCAGAACTCAAACCTAGGTCATAGGATTCGTGAAGATAGAATTAGATCATATTTGTAAGGTGCTTTGCAGACCTTAAAATGTTATCTAACAGCTAGCTATTATTATTGTTGTAATTTATTGAAAACTGAGATGAATTTTAGAGGTCATCTAACCCAAGCCCTTCATCTTACAAATGAGGAGACTGAGGCCAAATGAGCATCGGAATCAAGATTTGAAACACGGTCTTCTGACATGGTACAGTGTGTAGAGCACTGGGCTTGGAGTCAGGAAAATGCCGCTTCATGAGATCAAATCTGGTCTCAGATACTTATTAGCTGTGTGACCCTGGGCAAGTCACTTAACCCTGTTTGCCTCAGTTCCTTCATCTGTAAAATGAGTTGGAGGAGGAAACGGCAAAACATTCCAAGATCTTTGCCAAGAAAACCCCAGATGGGGTCATGAAGAGTTGTACATGAATGAAACAACAGAATAAATTATGACTCCAGAGCTCACTCAACTTCTCACTTTCCCATAGCTGCTTCTTCCTAATCATCATCCATTTGGCTAATGTTGGATTTCTATAATGTGAAGCTGAAAGTTAACAAGGTACTTAGAATAGAGGAATTTCGGATGAACTTACCCAAATCAGAACACTGAACAACTCGAAGGTGGCACTGGCAACGGAAAGGGCAGACTGGCCCCAATGGTTCTAGCTCAAAAATGCGGTCGGTGGGACCTACTCCAGAGGCCTCATCCTCGAGCATAAAGTCAAATAAGCCCGTTTGAAATGGTTTGGCCCAGCAAACTGGTACAAGAAGGAGGAAGATGATAGTAGATTTCATGGTTTATTTCATTGATTTTTCAGGAGCAGAGAACCTACGGACCAAATGAAAGGGTTAGAACAAGACAGAGCAGCATCATCACAGAATAGTTCCATCTGCAATATCCCATCATGGATGCAAAATGTCCAAAAAATAGCAAGACAAGTGTCTGCTTTGGCATTAGTTAATAGAATATTAAATTTTTGTTCATAGATCAATCAATGAATATTTATTAAATCCTTTTTTATGTAACAAGCATGGTACTATGGACTGTGGCTACAAATGCAATGAAAAGAAACCCTATTTGAAAAAAAGTATACATTCTAGAATAAAAGGGAAATTATTGGCACATTTCCATAGCATGCAATAGGAAGGGGGGGAAAGGGAATAGAAATATGATTTAAAACTGTTTGTTCCCAGTGTAGGTGTGAAATAAGATCATATAGCTTCCATACCTTCTAACCCAGAAATCCCACTGCCAGGCAAAGGAGACTAAAAGAAAGGCTTAATGTACACCAATATAATTAGTAACACTTTTTTGGAGGTAAAATGTAGTCTAGTTATGGCATAGACCCCCCTGGCATAGACCTTCATTCTTGGTCCTTGGACAACACTCTTAGCCCACTAGTATTTATGTTGGCAGGTCTAGGATTCTCAGAGGAAGGAATATCTGTCAGGCCTAAGGACAATCATTATGTTGGGATTTTTCTACTGCTAAGCCCCTACTGGTATGTTCACCATTTACACCACATCAGTCACCGTGATACCATTAACTCAAATATAAAAGACTTACTAAATAATAAGATAAAAGCAATGTCATATTTAATCAATAGATCAAAGAAAGAATAATCATATAATTTATTCAATTGAATGCCAGAACAGGAATATTATTAAAGTTCTCCCATAAAACTAGGTTGCACTCCTTCATCAATGTACAACGTACAGAAACTTAGCAGGTAGGCACATAAATAGGGAAATGCATGGACCTGGGCCTACTGAAACTTTGGACTACAGACTGCAATGTCTTTGGTTTCTTCAGGAACAATCTTCCCTACTTGAAGCCACTTCTGTAATCACTGCTCCCTTTCTGGTCCTTACCAGTCTCTTGATAGGCAAGACCACTCCTCTTCTGCTCACAAGATGATGAATCAGTGACAGCTCTTTTCCCTCATTGCCACCCTTAACAGATTACTAAGAAAAAAATGTTATGTTCTTTCAGTGACATGCTCCTCAAATCTAAAAATGGCAGAAGATTCTGCTTTGTTCAATCAGCTCCAATTCCCTTCTCGCAGGAAAGTCCAGCTCACAGCAAAATAAATACAAACTTTCTCCCTCTTAAACAAGGCAGGTCAGTAGAAAACAAAAAGACATCTGTGGAAAGTTTCCTTTCTTTCAACTGTACATGACACTAGATAGCAATAAGACCCAATAGATCTTCCCACAACAAGATCAATTCCCTTCCAATAAGCTTGCAGCAGTGGCTTAAGCCTTTCTCCAGTTAAGCAAAGCAATAATTCTCTTTCAGTCAGCTGAAGAGTTATCTGTTTCATCTGGAAATTTTTGGTATCTTTTGTACTCCGAGACAGCTAACTCCCCTATTCCTAGAGCAGTTTCCTCCTCCTCCTCCTCCTCCTCCTCCTCCTCCTCCTCCTCCTCCTCCTCTTTCTTCTTCTTCTTCTCCTTCTTCTCCTCCTTCTCCTCCTCCTCCTCCTTCTCCATTTCCTCCTTCGCCTCTTTATTTTCCTACTTCTTCCTTTTCTCATCTCTCTCCTTTTCTCCTTCATGTTCTTCGTTTTTAAAAATCACCTTAATTACCCTATTCAAAAGGAATTCATAAAAATAGTACACAGTAGTTTTAAATACCACTTTTTCTTCTTATAATCCCCTTCTAACCGGATATAAAAAGAGACTTTACCAGGCAGAAACAGTGTTTGTCCTTCCGACGGTATTGTTAGCAGTGCTTTTGATTTTCAACAATGATTACAGTTTTTCTGCTGCAACTTGAACACTCTTCTAAGAGAAAATTTTTTTAAAAAAAAACCCAAAAGACTGATATGTGGGCCTCACATATGTCTGAAGAATGATTTGGGGCAAATTACTTCCCTCTAATAAGAGGTATCAAAAGTTACATTAACTTTAGAAAAATAAAATTACATTTACCAGATTCTAATTGCAAAATTCCTATTTAATCAAAGGTTAAAACTAGTTTAATAATGCACTCCTATTAGAAAATTAAATAAAACATTGTAACTTGCCACATCTATTTTTTTCTTAAAATATAATTTGTCTTCAAAAGGAATAGTGATGATGCCTTCACATTCTTTAAGTGTCAGAATTAGTGGATATTTTGCGACCTTTGGTCTGATCACTTCAATAACCTAAAAAATATATTCCATATTACTGTCAATAGTTGAGGTTTGTCTCTAAAAGTTCAACAAAAATACTTTTCCAGTCTTCTCTTTACTCTTGTTTTTGCATTCAAAACTCCTACTCCACTCTGGTCTTTTCATTGGAAATGCTTAAAAGTTTTCTACTCCATTAAGATTTATAACTTCTTTGGTTTGTTTCATTTTTCCCCTGTAGAATTATATTTAGCATTTCAGGCTACTTTATTTGTTGCTTATAATCCAAAATCCATTGCTTTTTGGAACATTTAATTCCAAACTCTCCTTTCAATTTTGTAAAACCTGCCAGCTCTTGTGCAATCCTAACTGTGGTTCCTTTGCATTCTTGGGACTTTTCATTTTTTTTCTTCAGTTTATAAGTAGATTCTTTCTACTTTTACTTTGCACTCTTTTTCTAATAGATCTGGACAGTTGGAGTGGTTCTCATGGTTTTTAAGAAGCTCAATAATTCTTTTTTTAAATAAGTTTTTATTGATATTGTCTATCTTTTATATGATCCTAATTTTCCCCAGTATCCCTCCTCTCCCCCCTCCCAGAAGGGACATTTTATATTAAAAATATATAATTTTTAAGAAAAAAAGAAGAAAATGATCAGAATAACTTTCAACAGTTGAAAAAGTGTGAAAATATGTGTAATGTTTAACATCTATGGACCTCACTCCTCCTTGAAAGGGTGGGTTGGGAGTGTCTCCATATATATACATACATACACACACACACACACACATATCTTCTTTTAAGTCACAATCGATCTTTAAAATTTTGCAATACCAGTTATTTTCAAATTATCCCTCCTGGATATGTTTTAGAGCAGTTGATTTTTATCTAAATATCTTATATTTTATTTCATTTTGTGAATCTTTTATTTCTATTTTGTTTTCCTTTCTGTCTCATAAAGTCATTGATTTGTCTGGTATATTCTAGTTTTCAAGGAATCTATTACTTGAGTGAGGATAACCAGTTTGTTTGTTTTCTAGGATATTTATTCTATATCTTTCCTACAAAACATTTATTTTATTTAAAAATACTTTGCTTTATTTCTTGTAGGTATTTCTGTAGTGTTTATAGAAAATCCATTTTTTCCCCTTTGAGTTTCTATTGACAGTTGTTTTGACGTTACTCTCTCCTAGACCAAATTTTGGGGCATTTTTGGAACTAACATATATGTAGCAGATTGATCTAGTTTTGTGTCACAGCCAGACTCCACCTGCACAGTACTTTTGAGTGGGACATTTGGCTCTGCTTCATTTCATCTTAAGTCATCTGGGTTCCTGCACTGATCTTTACCTCCTGATGTTTGCTCCCAACCCTGAATCTTAAAGAATCAGACCACTACATTTCAGGGCTCTCTATGGCATCTCACAATGTGGTTCCAGGGACCTCAGATCTAAAAGGGCTGGGATCTCTTCAACTGAGGGCATCCATTAGCAAAGGCATGCCACACTGGTTGCTGGTGCCCTGGTTATTACAATGTCCCAGCTGTGGGTTTTCAACCACTCTGGCATTTTCTTGGGATACCTTCTATCCTGAATGCCCAAAACCTATATGTTTCTCTGATTCATCTCTGATTATACTAGGAGATATCATCAGGGTTGTTTGCTAGTACCTGTTGGGACTAAGCTACTGTATGACTCTTTTTTCTTCTTTGCAATCCTGAGGTGGAAGAAGTCACTTATTATTGTTTCTCATCTAATTCCTTGATCATTATTTGCCCTAGTGAGGTTTTTAATTTTCATTTGCCATTGTGTGGGGTCTAAGATGCCTGCTTCTATTCAAATTGCCATCTTGGCCAGACATTTTTCTGCTAGGTTCTTAATGACCTCTAATGCCTCGAATCAGAGACTGCTGATAGTCAGTTACTCAGCTTTACTACGTGAAGGAAAAATCAAGAAATGCATCTTTCTGCCAGGTATGAGTTCAGCAGTCCTCATATAATCTTCCCATGGTCCCCAAACAGTTACTTCATTCATAATTTTGTCAATTAAAAACTTTAAAATTTGAATACAGTTACATATAAATGAGCTAATTGGATATAATGCCCTGTGGACACTATCACTTCAGTCTGTTATGCTTTGAAATAGATTCTCTCAGTACATTCATCTGAGAAGCACTTCTCTACATAGTCCTCAGAGCCTGTGTCTCACCTCCACATTTACCTGAGAAATTATGAATTTTATCAGTTTTCAATGAAAAAATGTTCATTTTCTGCCATTTTCAATGCCCAAGCTATTCATATGTAAAAGGTACAATACCGTATAAAAGAAATGGAAACAAAATAGGTAACCACTATAAAGATTTTAGAGAATCATGGGAAGAGTTATATAAACTGATGCAGAGATAAGAAAGCAAACTCAGGAAAAATATACACAATAAATACTACCATGATAATTGAAACAATGACAAAAAAAACACAATGAAACTAAAGGCTATGTAATTATAATTACCAAGACTAGTCCCAAAGAAGAGATCAGAAAATGAACCTCCTTCCATCTTTGCAGCGGTGAAGCATTACATATACTGTCAGATTCAGTTAATGTTGTAGAAATGCTTTGTTTTCCCTCTTTGATATAGAGATTTTTCTCTAGGTAGGAGATGATGAATTGAGGAGTGAAAGTGATAAACAAATTTAAAATGTCAAGATATGAAAAAGCTCTTTGCTTAATGAGTCATTTGTAGATGAAATAACTTACGCCTAAATCATGTGGAGGGGGAGGGGGAGATTCTAGTAGTCAAACTATATAAATTATACTAAAGTCACAGAATCACAGAAAAGTGAAATGGAAAGAAATTTGGAAAATGGAAATTACCACGGAGGTAATATAATCCAACATTCTCATTTTTGTACACAGAAGCAAACTGATGCCAAGGAAGGCTAAGTAACTTACACAAAGTCATACAGATAGTAGGAATCAGAGCCAAGATTTAAATGTATATACTTTGATTCCAAATTCATCATTCTTTCCCCTACCATGATGCTGAGGCCCATAGAGTTCATGTGACTTAAATTTTTTCAACCACGTATTGACTAAACCCAAGATTCAATTCACTCAAGTCATTTTATTCTTTTGATTCAGTTGACCATGAGTTCAATTTAAAAGCTAGGTGCTTAGTGACTGATGATTGAGTAGATTAGATGGATAAATTAGATTAATCGATAGATTAATTAGATTGGATTGATTTTAGATTGAGAATCATATTGATAGATAGATAAAGGAAAGAGAGGAGGTAGATAGATAAATAGATAGATAGGTAGATAGATAGATATTAGGTGGGATAGAAAAAATGGTAGTAGAAAGATAGCTAGATTTAGAGTCAACTAAGAAACTGGGTTCTGCCACTTATTACCTTTATGACTTTGGAAAAACTGCATAAACTTTCTGGGTCTTAGTTATCTTATCTACTAAATGAGGTTGATGGGCTAGATGGATTTTAAGAGAGAGAGAGAGAGAGAGAATAAATAGATCTATAGATTATATTAAGCTATTTATGTCGACTGAAAAGAAATCTGCAAAATGATCAGAGTACAAAAGTGGTGGTGTGCAAAAAATGGTGGATTTCAAACTAGAGAATCTGGGTTTTCATCCTGTATCTGCTACTTTTGACCTTGGGCAGATTTCTTGATGGTTCTTTTCCTCATCTATACACTGGACTAACTCTGTGAGATCCTTACTATAGCCCTTTCACTTGCTTCTTTCCTCAGTATCTAATTTCTGAGGGAGGTATATTTCAACAATAAAAACACATATTGGTTTTAGTGAGTTTTGTTTCTCGATTTTGTCTTTTTAAAATGAATTGATCTGTTGGATGGTTAGTTGATTGAGTGACGCGTTTGGCCATTTTTCGACTGCATAGATATTTAATTCATTTTTCAAAACTGCCTATGAATATGGATCCAGTTATACAATTGGGCACATTCTTTGCTAATCTTGAATATTGACCATGTCATCTCTGTACTCAATATACTATCTTAGCTATTGTGAAAATGGCAAAGTTGCAACATGGAGGGTTTTGCCCCAGATGTAATTGATGCTTGGTTGACTAGCTTGATGAAATTATTTACTGACTTAATCAGTCAAATTTTAAAAATAAATTAAATAATACCCATTTTAAAAGTTTAAGCTTTTGGATATAGCAATTGATTTTTTTCCCCAAATGCTCTAAGAACCAGTGACAGATATTAGAAAAAACAGCTGTTTTTCTCATCTGGTTTTTACTCTACATTCCAAAGATTTGCCTAAGAGCAGCAAATCCTTACCTTAAGGTAAAGAGTTACTTTGAATGGATAGTCCAGTGACTTTCTTCCTATGCTAAACTTGCTGATTTCCCAATATTGTTTGGACATCTGGAAATCTTTACCTTAAAGCCAATGGAAAAGGCACAAGTTTATCTTAATTTCTCATACTTGATTCTTTGTTTATACTGATTATTATATTTCTAATGCATCATACAAATAATAAATATCCATTACTGTCCTTTTTCAAGCTACAAAGTTGGATGCTTATTTAACCTGTCATTAATCAATTCCATGTTAATATACATCCTCTTAAAATCCATTTTTTCTCTTTATTTATAATATTGCCTTTAAAGACCTACCCTATTGTTTGGCAGCTTTCTCTAGGACAAAATTATAGGGAGTGATTTTCAGTCTGCTATGTTAGAACTCAGAGATTAGGTTTACCACAAGTTTGCTGGGTTTGCATATTTTAATTCTCCATAACTTTGGAAGGAAATTCAAACTAAGAACTTGCAGTTTTAATAAACTACATTAGTAGCCCAGACAAAATATCATATAACCATATTTATTTATTCATTTTTAAATTACATATGTAATGCTATATGTTATAGGATAAATGATATAAATTATATAGCAAATATGAAATATTATATTGATTTATTTCAGAAACAAATATCCATAGGTGGTTACCTTCCCCAAAAGCAACGTGGAGCAGTGGAAAGAACAAGAGATTTGAAGGCAGAGGACCTCAGTTCAATGTTGGCTCCCACTTACTGTTACCTTGGGCAAGTCATTGAATCTCTCCCGGCCTCTTTAAATTTGCTCATGTGTAAAATAGGGATATTGGAATAGATAACCTGTCAGGTCCCTTCCAGCTGTGATCTTATGATCTTAGGTCTATGGAACCAAGAATGGGGATTTTTTGTGTGTGTTCTAATGTATTCTTGTGCCCATTTTCCCGCAATTTAATACTGAAAAGCCTCTCATTTGCCTCATAATCCATATCAGTTTGCTAAGTATCTTTGCTTTGTTTTGTAGAACCTTCCATGGATTGATTATTTACTTACTCCAATGCCTCAAATGATACTTTCCAAATAGTTTACACCTGTACCTTGCATGTAGCTTCATAAAGTCTTGTTGAATTTAAACTGTCCTGAATTCAGGGTACAGTGTGGGGATTGGGATATAGATCTTAGAATTACTAGAAATGTCATCAAATTTCCTGCTAAAATTACTTTCACTTACTAGTGGCATTTGGATACCTATAGGAACAGCATCTTGGAATAATGACTCATTATCTAGTTGGGTACGCCTAATCGTTACTCAATCTGCTAGAAGTCCCATATGCTATGTGGTTCTTAAGGTGGTACAATTGAGGGGGAAAATACAATAAGAAGAAATCATGGCCTATGTGTTTACATTTCATTTAGTAAGCTTACCATTATTATGACATTAACAAAGACATGCTGAGCAACCTTATTTGCTCTTGACTTATAAAAGGAGAGCTGTTTCTATTTAAACATCCTGAACCTAATCTAAGTAAAAAGAATATCAATATAATTTATCTGGCATCTTACCCCTCTGCTTTGGCCTGCCAATTAAATAGGCAATGGGCATGGAAATTGAATATACTAGCAAGATTCTTATTTTCCACTGATTTTCAGGGACCAAATTAAATTAGTTTTATGTCATCAGAATAACTCCTGTTTTCCCAAGTTGCTACAGAAGTGCTGTTTTATCTGCTTCACTGAGAAGAAGGTCTCTGTGATGTCATTTATGCCTATAGTATCGATATCAAAGTGGGCTTGACCAGAGAATTTAATACTCAGATGGAGATAAGTGAAACAATAAACACATGGAGAAAAGGGGGTTTGGGGAAGGGGAATAAAAACTTCCAGCTCCAGATCAATTCACAGGATCAGAAATAAAGCAAAGCAATTAAAATTAAGGAAATCAAAACACTTATCCATAAGTAGGTTAGCTATAGAAGTCTCTTGGCTATGGTTTAGCTCAAAATAATCAGGGGAAGAAAAAAGCCACAGGCATCCACAGCCCTGAGATCCCACTTTGCTGGAGGTCATCATGTTACCATCTCTAAAAAATGATGGGGAAAAATAAACCACACATTTTGACTTCATAGTGAATTTGTGTTATAAAATAGCCACGTCCCCATTTAAAATATCAAGCAGTCACTGCGTATTTTGTCCACAGAATCCCACTTCCATGCATGCAAACTGTTGAGATTAAAAGTTCAGAGGCATGGTGTTCTGTGAATCTTTCCATCTTTCACCCAAAGAATCAGCCTCCTTTACCGATGATCTGCCCTTTGTTTGCCAGGGTTTCAGATCTATACACTAAATCTTTACGACTATACTCCCTCCCCTTCCCTCCCCTTCATGGTAACTTTATTCAGAAGCTTAAGAAGTGCTAAAAGTCAGCTAAGAATCAGTAGAAGGAGAAATAAGCAAATAAACAGAAACAACAACCAAAAGAACCCAGAATTAGTAATCCTGCTAGACTTGGCATAACTCAGAAACATTTCCCTGTAAACATGAGTGAAAGTCAAAACATTTCATTACCAATATTCATGCAGAAAGGCAGATATTCATTGTAAGAAAGAAAGTCATCTGTGTTTAGAAACATCCATTCGAGAAGCAAAACTTAAAAAAAAAAAACATGCAAACACCAAGACAAAGTCTACAAGCTCTTAAAAATGTCTTCTCCAACTTCGGTTCTCAAGCAAGTAAGAAAATGTAGCTTTCAACCTGGCTCCAAGTATTCTAGTTCTTCTATCCCCATCCCTCCCCCAATTCATGCCTTTTGCTCCCGACCGACCGAAGGTTTATTAGTCTGCAGCAGCCTGCGGGACACTTACTGAAAACCATACCTTTTCATCCAGGGCTTTGTCACAGGAGCCCTCAAAAGCTGAGATGTAATTACACTAAATATTCAACCCAGGCAGGGGAAAAAAAGTTTGCAGGTGTGGAGAGGAGGAGGAAGAGGAGGAGGAGGGGGGAAGGTTACTGCACTGTGACTGTCACTTGGTGGAAAACCTTCTTTCTTCTTTCTACTCCATAGCCCAGTTAGGAGGAGGAAGAAAAAAAAAAAAAGGTTTCCCTCAATGAACACAATCCAGGCTGACACCCACATTAGATCATATGGTAATGATATGTCTCCTGTATTGTAGCCAGAAACTTTATCGGGCTTTTTTTTTTTTTCATTTGCTTTATTTCTTTTTCATCTGTTTAGCATCCTGAACTGTTTGTGCTGAAAAGTTGAACAACTTGGCTTGTGATTCATCTTACTTAGTAGATTCATTTCCTTTAAGTAAAAAAAAAAAAGATTTTAACTGAAGAATTGGCTTTATTTCCCCCACATCTTTTCCTTCTATCCCGGTTTATAAGTCACATTTATCAGCCTGAAAGAAGGACTTTTCCCCCCTTATTCATAATAACTGGAAGCCTAGCAGATAGTGCAACATTCATCTTGTACTTATCCTAAATGTGTCCTGCATCAAATATGTGCGTAACCTTCAGTTTTAAAAAAAAATACTCAATCTTCTATTGCTTCACTTTGCCATTTTTTTTATTTTTTATTTTTTTTTAACAGAAACTGAAGTATTACCTCTTAAATGCTAAGGGGGCATTTTTATATATTTTGAGTGGTTACCTAAAGGATCCTGGAAGGAAGCCAGAGTTTTATATGAAAAGCCTGTCACTTATTATTTTCATTACTCAAATTATTCTGACATTTATGACCAGAAATGTTTCGTAGAAAACAACACAGCTTTAAAAGTGCATCCCCCTCCTTCCCTCTAGCCCTTGCCTCCCCAATGTAAAAAGCACAATAGATCTAACGTCATCCTTGTTCAAAAAAAAAATCATCTAGCTGTGAGCACCAGGATTGTTATAGAGCATACATATCCTAGGAGCTGATCACATGTCACTCAGTGGCTGGGGAGGTGGGTTAGAAGAGAATGTAGTTATTATTTTTTTAAATGAATCCAGAACTTTGTTCAGACTTAGATACAGATATCCAGGAGCTTTCCAAACAGCAGAAAAGGGAGAAAAGAATCCAAATCTCCAAGAAGATGTTTACTTAGCCCCTGAGAAGCACTGAGAACATTAGTAACAACTCCCTGGTTCCAAATGCTTTGAGTTTTCTCTTTAAAGTTTGAAAAGTTCACATCTTTGTGTTTTGACTTGCATCTTTCTGCCTGCCCCTAGGCTGTGACCAGGTGCAAACCTGAAGTAAATTTCTTTGAAACATGAAAGGATGTACCCTTCTTGTCCTCTAAGACATTCCCCACCACCAACATGAAAGAAACAGAGACAGAGATGAAGACAGAGACAGGGAGATAGAGAAAGACAGAGGGGAGGCACTCTACAATATCCTGCTAGAACATGGTAGAATTAAACTCAAGTGGGGAGGAGATGCAGGTGGGGTGGGTTTCTAACATTTTATATTTATATTCTCTCTTTTTAGATTCCTGTGTACATACCACCCTGCCACCCAGAAGAAAGTAGCAGAGCTGCCCTCCCCGCCCCCCTACCTTGGTCCTTCTCAAATTGTTTTCTATACCCCTTTGTGTATTTGGATTGTTGTTAGCTATGTATCAGTATTTCCTGTGCCAACATATTTACCATCTATAAGGGCCTAGAAAGAGATAGGTTTTCGTTGGCTTGAGGCAGAATTGAAGACTGAGTGAAAAATTTAGCATCTCAAAGAGTTATCTAGTCCCATCCCTGTACCCCCACATTCCCTTCTCTGGCAACATGTAACTTCAAGCTTTCTCACTAACAAAAAGTGCTTTCAAGAAGGGGAAAAAATTAATGACAGTATGTGATAGGTCTGTGAAAGAATTGAGAGATCATCTAGACCAACAATCTCATTATAAAGAGGAGGAAACTGAGATCCATGGAGGCAAAGTGGTTCAACCCAGGCCACACAGATAGAAGATAATGGAATCAGAATCCTAACAGGATGCAGTCTGATTCCCACGGGGAGGAGAGGGGTGGAGTAGAACAATCCGATGGGTTTGTCACTTAGCAAGAATAAACACTTGGTATCCATTTGGTGTCCATGTGATTCCCACAGAATATGATTCCAGAGAACAAGGCCCCCAAGCACTTTGGGTGAACCCCCTATAGTGGATCTACAAGGAGATATAGACAGTGATCACAGGGTGGTCATGTATAGGCAGGAATTGTGGAAGGAATACCCAATTCTAGGAGAGCATGGAATCACTGGTGGACTGGAAAGTAGTTTTATAAATAAAATAGCATTATAGAGATGATAATAATAATAATAATAATATTAACAATTATTAACAATTTAATGCATACTATGTATCAGGCACTGTACTAAGTTCTGGGGATACAAAAAGAAGCAAATAAAAAAAAAAGACCACCAACTAGTCCCTACCCTCAAGGAGCTTACTATCTAATAGGGAAGGCAACATGAAAACAAATGTAAACAAAGCAAGCTCTGTATAAGGTAAAGAGGAGATAGATAATTCACCTAGAGACAGTACTTGAATGAAGAGGCATTGAGTAAGGCTTTCTGTAGCAGGTGGGATTTTAGTTGAGCCTTAAAGAAAGTCATGGAGGTCAGTAGTCCAAGAGGAGGAGAGAAAAGTTTCCAGGCATGGGGTCAGCCAAAGCTAATACTTTCAGGTTTATTTAGCACTTTATAAAAGTTATTTCCTTTGAAGACTCAGGAGGATTTGTTGATGCCCCTGAAATTAAACCAGTCATTTGTTGCTAGATATTTGCCATCTATGTTGATAAGCAAAACTAGTTCTGGAGAGTCAAATATTTTGTAATTTTAAGTTTAGCAATAAGAGGCATGTGCAGACCTACGCCCCCTCTTCAGCTGATTTCCTTACACTGTTCCCTGGAACACCAAGAGATTAAGTGACTTGTCCAGGATCATACAACCAGTGTGTGTTAAAGATGAAATTGAACCCAGGTCTTTCTAGCTCCACAGGTGCCTCTTAGGGTCACGAAAAACTAAAGGGTTAAAGTTATTCAGCTACTTATTTATCTATTTGTTTGTTTATTTATTCCTTCATCTATCTATCTACATTTGTCTATCTATTTCTATCTCTGCCTGTCTCTATCAATGCCTCATTTGTCTATCTGTTTATATCTCTATCTCTCTATCTATTCATCTCTCTATCTCTATCTCTACTTCTGTCTATTCATCAGTCTATTATCTATCTGTCCAGATCTCTCTACCTTTCTATCTTTCTATCTTTTCATCATTCTATCAATCTGTCTATAGCTGTGTATATGTCTATCTGCTTCTCTCTCTGTGTCTCTGTCTCTGTCTCTGTCTCTCTGTCTCTGTTTCTCTCTCTCTCTCTCTCTCTCTCTCTTCTCTATCTTTCAAAAGGAAAGCTAGCCAGTCATGGTGGCTGTTGCCAGTAATCCTAGCCACTAGGCAAGCTGAGGTAGGCATATCTCTTGAGCTCAGGCATTCTGAATTGTTGTGTGTTATGCTTGGTAGGATGGCCTACCAAGTTCTGTGTCAATATAATAACTCCCCAAAGACAAAGAACCATTAGGTTCCCTAAGAAAGCATGAACCAGCCCAGGTGCCATGTGTTCGAATAGTGGGACTGGTTCCATGAGTACTTCTTGTACTTCTAGCCTGGAGAGATGGGAAGACACTGTCAAATGAGAGGGAGGGGAAGGAAGGGGAGGAAAGGGATGAGAACAGAGATAAGAGAAAAGAAAAGAGAAGAGAAGGGAGAGAGAGAAAGAATGTTAAAATGTTTTAAACAACTTTTCACTCACATTTCTTAAATGATAAGCAACCTATATTCAACACCACAACCAGGCTCTTGAAACTTATCAAGTTGTATTAATACTGATGTGTGTGTGTGTGCTAGTCATCACCATTTGGATTTACAAAGAACTTTTCTAAAATATCAAAGTTGTTATTATTGTTTGTTGCATTGCTTTATTTCTGTTTTGCAACATCCCTGTGATTTTGGGAAATGGGGCCATTTATGTAGTGACACCCATCTTGTGACTGAGTAAATCTTAATCACAGCAAGATTTTAACGTGCCTGTGACTAACTTAGTTCAAGTCCAATAGTTTCAACACAGAGCTGGAACTCAAACCCAGGCCTCCAAAAGATTAGTATGAAAGTGAACCATTTCGAAACTCAAGGTCTTTCAGGCTAATCCTACACCCAAGTTGCTCAGACTAATCCTACTCTGGAATGTCAACCTAGTCTTCCCAGAAATCTTGGCTGCCATATAGAAATGTGAAATATTTAAATTCAAATCACATATCCCATCCACTGTTAAAAATGTCTGCACTATAATTTCAACTGACAACTCATCAGTTAGCAGGATAACTGGATTCTGCGTCTTGTCAGAGTTCATTTCAGGGCTGGCCATTTTCATTAGTAAAGCGATCGATTTAAGTGACAATTGCTTATTAGCAGGATGAAGAATGCCAGAGTTTGAAAAGGTTTCTTCCATTTTCTGAGAGGCCAAGTGATTTTCTTCACAAACTTGATGTGACATTCAAAGACTGGAATTATACGTCCAGACCAGGTGAGTGCCAGCCAACTACATTGTATTGTGTTGTTGTTCTTATTGCTGTTATTGTGTCCTTTGCCATAAACAGGCGGTTTTTCAGGCATAAAAGTGCCATGGGATGGGCATGAGGAAGTCAAGGCCAAACACTAATGAACGGGAAAAAATGTTTCTTTGGCATCATTCTTTTACTACCTTCTCCTCCCTTTCTAAATCTCAATTCCACCCCAACAAAGTACTCAGGGTCCCATTGACATTCTCCATAAGATTCTGGCCTTCTTTGACCCCCCAAACCCGCTTATCTTGATGGCAAAAGTTAATTTTCCTTTATTTTATTCTCTTAGGGATTTATCTGGATTATTTGGTAATCTAATTCAAACTAAAGGATAATGTGTTAACCCTCCTAGGGGTGTTTGCTTTTGAACAAGGCTTACCTAGCAATACCTGTGTCTAATGATCAAGATGAGTAGATCTCTAATGGCAGAATTTCAGAGACCAGTTTTACAGATGTATTAAAAACTATGTCTCAAATCTGTCAAATTACATG